CCTGAACGGAGGGCACAGGTAGCAATGGTGACACTGCAAACCCCACCACCCGCCCTCCTGGGCCCGGCTCTCCGTGCCCCCGCTGCAGCCTCCTCCTCTCACTGACAGGGCCCCCCGAGCCGGAACAGCCTCCCTCTTCCTTAGCCTGTTGCCTTTGAAGATCGGGCCTTTGGCTCCGACTAGTCTTTCCCCTAAAACACACCGTCAGCTTTCACCACAGGGAACTCTGCTGGACACTTCCCTCCCCCCACACCCCTGCCCTCACCTTCCCCTGCCCCGATGCCATCTCCCCTCACCATGCATCCCCTCGTCCTACCTCAAGTCCCAGCTCCAGAGACACCTCCCCCAGGAAGCCGCCTCGGATCTGCCTGGGGAAACACCCTCTCCCTCCTCCAAGCCCCTGGGCGCTCTGTGTCTGCTCACAAGCTTTCCTGTGTCCACTCCTCATCGGCGCCCGGCCTCTCAAGAGCATTTCAACCATGGCCTTTGGATCAGAGCTGAGTCGGAATCCCCACCTTGTCACTCACCGGATGTGCAGCCCAGGAGGTCACTTACTGTAAAATGGGGGCGATGCATCAGCCTCAAATCCTCAAAGAATGTCCTCAGGTCAGCTGTGTGAGTCCCAGGCGGGGGCACTCCCGGGCAGGCAGCATCCGTCCTTCTCCTCCCTCTCCCTCGCCCCCCCCAACCAGGGCTCCCAAGACCCCTTAGGCTAAGGATGCCCACCTGTGGGCATGCACCTGTGGGGGGGGGGGTGCTTCCTGGGCAGACAGACGCCAGAGGCCTCGCAGCTGGGAAAGGGAGCAGGTGCCGCAGGTGAACTCAGGTGATAGTCCCAGCCAGGCAGGGAGCTCCCCTGTCATGTCCTCTCGCTGCCCTTCCTTCTAGTGCAGACCTGCCCAGGGCCTTCCCAACAGGCAGGGCTGCTGGCCTCTGGGCGGGGAGGAGGCAGGCAGGAGGCCCCCATCTGCCCCAGGAGCTGAAGATGAGGAGGGTCCTCCTTCAGGCCACATAAATCAGCTGTGTGACTCCCGGGTGGTTCCTTCCCTCCGTAAGCCGTTGGTGAAGGCTGCCCCTCCCTGTCCCAGCCTAGGCTCAGCTGGGCGGCGGGTGGGAGCCATGAGGGGGCAGTTGCCAGCACCAGGGAGGGGCTCCGGTGGAGAGCTAACGGGGGTGGGGGTGGGTGGGTGTTCTAGCCTGGACACCATCTCAGGGATCACCAGCCTGGGGTCTCCGGGTTTGATTTCATTAGGGGGCCTGTGTGTGTGTGTGTGTATTTTTAGAAAGGAAGGGAGTGCGATATAGAAACATCAATGATGAGAATCATTGATTGGCTGCCTCCTGCACGCCCCCACTGGGGCTGAAAACACAATCCAGCCATGTGCCCAGACTGGGAATCAGTGACTTCATATGTCGATGCTCAGCCACTGAGCCACGCCAGCTGGGCCTGGGTTTTCTCCCAGGTGATGGGAGAGGCAGGAACCAATCGAATCGAGTTGCCTGCCACTGTGGGAGGCGCTGCAGAGGCAGGAGGGAGAGGCAAGGTTTCCAATGGCCTGGCACTCGGATCCCTGCAGCCACCTCTTCAGATCCCTGCAGCCCCTTCTCCCAGGCTCCCTCGGAGGGCACAGGAGACCCACACATCCGGGGCCTGCAGCCGCTGACCGGCACCACCCAGGTCCAGGACCGCGTTGGAGCGAGCCCTCGGCCCCGCCCGTGCCCAGGGCCTAGCCTGGCGGGTACACAGTGTGTGCTGAATGGGTAGAAACACCCCTTTCTTCTCTTCTCTCTGGTGCTTTCCATCTACAGTCCTGGGAGGCAGGCGCAGGAAGGACAGCAGGGGTGGGAGGGGAGGGAGGAATTGGCAGAAAGGCCACACTATGGACAGAGCGGGGTCGGGTGGCAGGGGACTCTGGAGGAGTCGGGGTTAGAAACAACCCACAGAGGGGCAGATAGAAGTGGCGGGATATTACTCAGCGAGGACAAGGCGTGATCTGTGGGGCCACGCAGGACCCAGAGGAGCCTTAAACGCAGGTTGCTAGGGAAGAAGCCGATCTGAAAAGTCTACCGACCATGTGATTCCAACTATAGGACACACTGGGAAAGGCAAGCCCACGGAGAGAGTAAAGGCCAGTGGCTGCCACGGGTTGGGGGGAGGAGGGATGAGGAGGTGGAGCACTCCATCATGAAAGACCTCCTAGCAGAGGGGGCCCCATGGTGAGGTACAGGCCGGGAGGGAGGAGATGATGTGCAGACTTCATAGAGTCTAGGGGTGGGGGGGGAGGTGGCGTTCAGCAGGATGAGAAGCACCTCTGCAGGCAGGGGATGGCATGGAGCTCCCTGGAGGGGCTGCTCTGTGTTTAGGACCCTCAAGCCCCCCTCACCCCGCCCAGAGGCATCCAAAGTGCGCACCAAACACCCGCAGCTGGGGACCCAGCCCCCGAATCTCCCCGAAGCCAGGCAGCTTCATCTGTTTACATTTCAAAACCAAACTAAAAACCACCCCTCAGAATATTTGAGAAGCACACTCAGTCACAGTTAGAAGCTTTATGTAATTTGCAGCCAGAACATCACAGACTGGTGGTCAGAGACGAGAGCTCCCGGCATTGCTCAGCCAGGCCTCGCAGCCCGGAACGCTTTGCACACTCCCTTCCAGCCTTCACGACTGTTCCCTGCGCTGCAACCCAGGCGGGATAGACGCAGAGGTTGGCGGGCCAGAGAGCAGAGGCATTCCGGCTCCCCGCTGGGTTTCTGGTTTGGCCACTGGCACCTCCCTCCCCAGGAGAGGTCCTCAAAGGTCCGCGAAGAAGGCGGGCAGGTCGGGGCCCAGCGCAGACGGCGGGACGAAGACCACGAGGCAGTGCGACCCCGTCTCTCCCGGGAAGGGCTGCCTCCCGCCGGCGCCCCTGCGGTGAACAGTGGGAAACCGCCCGTGTCATCACCGCTCGTGCTTAATGTTGGCCTCGCTGCGCTCCAAGGCGACCCCGCTGCCGCTCCGCGGGCCTTCCCTCTTGGTCCCGTCCTTTTCCGCGTAAAACTCGGCCAGCACGGGGCAGTGCTCCGACGCCACGCCGCCCCACGACCAGTTGTCGGGGATCCACGGGTTCGTGAGGCCTTCTCTCAGCACCGCGCAGTGACCTGGGGGAACAGGGACCAGAGTCAGGGCGGGGATGG